ATTTACCCCGATCTTCAAAAATTTTATGTTATATTGTAGATTGATCTATATGTTATCCATTCTATGTGTTAGATTTACGATAAAAGTAAAGGAGGGGATACCAGAGAGCTTCAAAGTAGGATGGTACCCCCTCCCCCCCCAAAAAAAAAACTGGGTCGAGTCACCTTAAGTGCTGAGAGATAAATAAAATAAACCAACGTGTGTGTCATATAAGTTGGCTTTGTTCTTTTAGTGAGTCAATCAGTTAATTAGTCAGGAAGTAAAATACACCAGAATTTGTTTTTGACAACTGAGTTAAACTGAGTCGAACTGAGTAGCTCGCGAAGAATCATTTTTTTTAAGCTTTCACGATGATAAATGGATTTTATGACATGTTTTTGTTTCACTCCCCACCCAAAGCCGCACTACAGTTTCTTTTTAGATAACCCCTGACACCCTCAGACAGTATAAATCCTAGTTGATCAGTCTGTCTATACTCTATAGCAGGGTGGATAAAGGACTGGCAGCAAGCGATTCTTTAATTAGCACCTAATCTTTAATGCACGGTGCTCTTGAAAAGCAGGTTACTGATTTCGTCGTACTTTTTTAAAAAAGTGTTTTTCTCATGTGTATACAATTATAACTGTACTTTTCTCCCCTGTTCTTATGTTTGTTATCCTGATCAGTTTACCGCGTTGAAATGAAGATAATGATGACTATTATTATTTCGTTCAAACTGAATAGACTGGCCAAATCCAAACCCTCTTCATAACGCTTAGCAAACAATCACATGTACATCTCAAAAACTTATTTACATGATACAATGTCGGAAATGCAGGAGCACCCAAACACAGCAGTGAATACATTGGACTGACCAAACTTCAAATTTGGAGACTGACACTGCAAACCTATACAAAACAGGACTGACGTCACAGTACCGCAGCATTTCAATCAAACTTGACACCAACTTACAGACATCGATCATATGATACGTTCACACTTTACCGGATAATAGCTTTTGCGCCGCCACAGAAATCATACCGGATATAGAGCTTCTGTTCACACATAAGAACGGTTGTGGCGCGCGATTTCAGTGACGGAGCGATGCTGCACCGCGCCGATTTCGAAAGTGGAGCGTCTTATATCGGACGGGATTTGTTCCATACCTTGGTGCAGTGTGAACACCCGTACTCAGCCCGTCCCGGAAGTAAATAAGTAGGAACGAGGACTGAAACCCACTAAGAAGGGAAAAAATATTCAGGAGTGAGAAATGGAATTTAGTGTACTAACCGCGCCGCGGTACGATGTTCGATCCTTGCCAATTTTCGATGTGTGCTTATCCGCGCGTCCTGGTGTGTGTGAACGATTTTTACCGCCCCGGGCCGTTGCTGTTTTTCGTGGCGCCACAAAAAGGTACCGGGTAAAGTGCGAACGTAGCCTTATTTCACTCGAACTTACAACTTGAAAAGAATATCATTCTATAGGTAGAGCCCGCGACCGTTTTACATTGCGCTAAAACCACACAGCCACGTGAAATGAAATGAGAGGATGACCTTTTTTCCACCACTGTTATTCGTATGTCTTTTTATATTTCAACCGAGTATCTTTTTAACAACAAAGTATTTTTTATCTATTGTGCATGTTTTTTTAGTTATAAAATTATCACGTTTGTATAAACGTTTATCATCATTGGCCCATTAAGTTTTTGAACGTTACCTTACTATCACATTTCCAACTGCCCGTACTACTGTATTTGAACTGTAACAACTCTCCGTTTCTACAGGGGCACCCAACGAGAATATAGTTCAAAACCACTTAAACATAGCACTGTTAAACGTATTTTAGTATTTAAACGGTAGATATAGGCATATTTTCATCCCCTAAAAATCTTTCATCTGTTCGGATTTTCTAGCTGAAAGCCTAGTGATCCGAAAATTATAGGGATCAAAATTTACCTTTTCGAAAATTTCAGCCAGAAAAAAGGTTCCCGAAAATTCTAGGTGACCTTTTTAGGGTAAAAATCCGTTAAAATTAGGCAATTATACCATTTTTTTGATGTTCGAAAATCATAGGAGAGGCAGGCAAGCAAGAATTTTTACAACAAATGTTCCGAAAATTCTAGATCTAAAATCGTCTTCCGAACAGATATTCTTCCGAAAATTGTCGTTGGGTGCCCCTGTTTCTACATTAAATCCCCAGAATGAGAACGTCTCTTTGTCCGTCCCATTTATTAGCAAAACTCCAGTAGCTTTTATTGTCTTTGGTGTGTTGTTATTAATGTTCAATTTGACCCTTTTGCTTCCCTGTTCACCTCTGACTAATCTCGTGGATTTGGTATTTTGAATAAGATTAACTAAAGTTCTTTCCTGGGACCAGGGCTCGTTTCGTTCTCCGTTTTGTTTTCCTTTTTTTCCTTTTCCCCGGCCCGCCCCCGTTTTTTGCCTGCTTTTCCCCAGTCCGGAGCCTGGTTCCACGCTACCAAGCGTGAGCTTACCAGTTGAACCTGGAAGCCTATTCGACA